CATGGGATTTGAGCTAAATACCCAAAAAACATTTGGCTCAATTGTTTTCTCTCTAATCTCTTACGAATTCTTTATTGTCCATCCAACTCTGACTTGTATTTGAAATATTCGAAGATATATTGTGATGACCAACACTTGTGTCTCTATCAAGTAATTAATCTCCAACAATGTGACTAGCTTAGTGCTTAGCGTTGATTTCCATTGTTGGAAAAGGAAGTCTCGAGTCAAGTCTATGAAATAATATTCTAAATCCAATCAAATACCAGAGATCGTAAGAACAAATTAATTGCTAGATAATTACGTAGGTATCTCTCTGTTTTTTTGGTTTTTTTTTTGTGTGAAGCGAAAACAAGTGAGAGCTTCTACCAAAATATTGAAAGCAGAGAAAGTTTTATTTTAAATCAGGTAAAGAACCCGCATATATGCGGATTTGTGATAATATTTTTAATCTGTAACAAACCAAATTTAGAAAAGTAAAGAAATAAATAAATCACCCAAAAAAAAATGTTGATATAAAATAATTTAAGAGTTACTTTTTTTATCTTAATTGTTTTGCTTATTTGATTTCCAAGCAGTTCCTAATTTTTATCACGTAATTAATTTTTTTCTATTCATATATATATGAAGAATTTTTTACAACTTCACTATTCTATGTTTAAATAAAAAGAATTAATTACTTATTTTCTATTTAAAATTTCCAAACAATTCCTAAAATTTATCACGTAATTAGTTTTTTTCTATTCATGTATGTATGAAAATTTTTTTACTACTTCACTATTCTATGTTTTTTAAAAAAGATTGAATTAATTACCTATTTTTCTATTTAAAAATTTTCAGTTTTATAGATATTTTATAATATGTGAAAAAGAACAAAGCTAAAAAACTTAAGACTACTAATAGAGAAATCCCACCGTTATTAAGTTGGTTTGACTCTTTTTTATATTTATAATATTTTTTCATTTAAGTTTGTTAAATATTTTCAAATAATTAGTTTTTTTTCTATTCCTAATTAAATTAGGTTAATCTTTTTTTTATGTATCTACTCATATATCTTTTTTTGCAAATTTTGACGAATTAAGTCTTATATTTTTAGTTGCAAACTAAAATTACAAATTTTAATAAGATTTCTTTCACATAATTGATTTCCAAATTTTGCAAGATTCGAATGATGCACAAAGTTTTAGTTTTCAATTTGCAGGAAGTGATTAAAAGTACTACAATCATATCATCGTAATCTATCTCACCTATCGAATAAGAGGATAATCAATGTTACTGTCTAATGGAAAAGCTGAAATAAAATTTGTGAAAGAGATTATCGAAGTTTAAAATTGTTTGATGAGA